CATTTATCCCGGAGCTCTCCGGTGCTGGCTCCCTCCATGCGAGCCATTAATCCCCCAGTTAATTAGGGAAGAGCCCCGATCCATCTCCTGCACCACAGCAATTATCCGGAGCCGCTGCCCGGCGGAGAGCGATCGATGTGGGCAGGATCCGGCCCTTCCCGCCACGCTCCACAGATTTATTCCACAAATCCATAGCAGCCCAACGCCAGCGGTTGCTGCGGGGGGGCCGCGGCCTCCGGTTCATCCCGAGCCACTGGGCAAATTCCAGAGCACTGGGAAGGACGTGGTGGAGCCAGGAGAGGCTCAGGCACGAGAGCCAAAAACCCTGAATCTGCTCTTTGGGTGCCATAAAAATCCCAGCCTGGAAACTTCCCTCTGCTTGGATGAAAGGGCGAGAGGGAAAATGTGTTACACTCCATCTCTTCCCAGGGACAGGGAATACAGAGGTGGTTTCCCACATCCCAGCTCTTCCAACACAAACAGAAGGAGAAGGGGACACTGCAGCCACAACAGGGATATTTCATCCTCATCCTCCCCTTGGTGCTTCCTCCAGAGGGAATTATTTCAGGAAACAATGGCAGGGGATTATTGCTACTGCAGACCCAGGGGATACCATCAGTTCCCTGGAATGGGGCAGGAACCCAGGGCAGGCAAATCTCCCAGGAATCTCAGGACTTCCCAGAACAGCCTCAGGGACCCAGGGCAGGCTGGGCTCCCTGGAATCCCAGGACTCCCTGGAATCCCAGAGCTCCCCAGAGTTTCAGGGCTCCCCAGGTCACCCTCCAAAGGCCCCAAGTGCTGGAGTTGTGCCACAGGCAGCGCTCCCAGGGATCCCAGGCCCACCCACTGGATCTCCCTGCCAGCAGCCAGAGCTCTGGCATTGGCAGCTCCCTGCCAGGGTGGGATTGGGGTGGGAAAAGTGGGATTTTGCCCCAGGATTAGTGCTGGCAGGGAGCTGAGAGAAGGCAAGGCTGAAGGACCCCTGGGCTCGGTGCTGCTGTTTTGGGGGGTCACTGGCCCCCCAGCAGCCACTCTGGGGACAGGGACAGTGACAGAGCTGGGGACAGCAAATCCTGTTCCAACACGGCACAGGGACAGTGGACAGAGGAAAACTGGTACCAGTAACACTGGGGTGGTTCAGACTGGGAGAGCACCAAGGTGCCAGGACCCTCCAGAACCACCTGAAATTCCATTCCAGACTCCAGTGCTCCCACCACAAATCCCGACAACACCCTCCACCCGCTTTCAACTCCGAGAATCACCGGATTTCCCACGAGAAAGGTCTCACAAGCTGCTGTTTTCCCCCTCCCGTGTTTTTTCGGAATGCCCAGGCGGGGCTCCGAGCTGGAAAGATGCAATTAGGCACCGAAGGAGCCCTCGCCGAGCAGCAGCGATGGCCTCGCCATGGAGGGAATTGATTTTATTTGACCATTTTATGAGCACTGGAAAATTGCATCCGGAGCGTGCGCTCCGGTAGTTAATCCATTCCTCATTCCCTGAATTGAGCTAAACCAGCCTGGAAAAATATGCCGGGGAAACAAAGGGAGAAGCAACGAGGCATTCCTGGGAAAGGGGGATCACAACCCTACAAAGGGTGCTCCAGATTTGGGTGCACCCCGGAATTCCCTGCGAAGAGCCTCGGGGTTGCCCATATGGATTCCCACAAAAACAGCAGCACCAGCACTGGCGGGTCCTGGACCCTCGAGAGGACTCCTGGAGTCACCACTGGCCCTGTCCCCTTTCTTATCCCCTCGTGCCCTCTCTTGTGCCCTCATCCCCTCCCTCATCCCCTCCCTCCATACCTTCTTCCCGATGAGCTTCTTGCGCAGGAATTCCCGGGCCTCGAACATGTAGGGAATGTCATAGAGGGGTCTCAGCTTCCGGTTCTTGTCCTGCTGGGGGGCAGAGAGGGGAGAGATCAGAGGAGCCCCCCTGAACGCCCCTGTGATCAGCATCGCTCCCCCACCTCTCCCAGAGGTGCCCACCCGTTCCCACACCCCGGGTTGGGCTCCCCAAGCTCCCGAGGGGGATCCTGGGATAACCCAAATGTCCCCAGGAGGATGTGCCAGCAGCCTGGAGGTGCCAGGTTGGGCTGCTCCAAGCGGCAGCTCCGTAAGGAGAAGGGATGATGGGGAATTTGGGGTGGGGGTGGTCAAGGGGGATAAACCCCCAGCCCCTGCTCAGGGGTGTCTGATGGAGATCAAATCCCTGCAAAGGCTGAGAAAAAAGGGGAGTTTTCCAACAGAAACGGCAGCGGGGATTCAACCCAACGGAGTTCAACGCAACCCCATGTGACCCACAGTGACCCAACACAACCCAACGTGACCCAACCCAACCCACC